TGAGGTAAATGTGCAAGGGGGCAATTGTTGGGTCGTATAGTAAACCCAGGTTTTGCTTCATTAGAAATTGCCAAACCTTATTTCCAGAGTAATTGTACTGTTTTATATTCCCATCAGAAAGGTTAGAAAATGTTCACAGTATATTCCCTCCCCCAGACTCCATTTAAAAATCTCTAAATAGAAGCAGTACCTTGGATCCTTGCTATCAAAATCAGAGAAGACTATGGAGGGAAGGGCAGGAAAACTATACACCATCCATTCATAAAGTTGATATTTACAAATATCTAGCAGAGGTCTAAGAGATCCCCTCCAACCCTGCAGATACAAAAACAGAGGTCTTACAGCAAGGTTCAGGGTTAGGAAGTAACAGACTGGGAATTGTACATTCACAGGTGTTCAAAGCTTCTAGCTTTTCCCCATTCTTCTCACACATCCACAGTTCTTTCTCGTGCTGCTCCCTCTTGATCTTGGTCTCCTTCCTGAGCTCCCTTAGGGTTCAAACCCTCGCGTGCGCAAATAAGATTATAGATAAGATGCTGAGCTTGCTTCCCCTGGAATCATACATTCTTTGCCCCTAAACCTGAATTAAGAAGGGAACAAATCTCCCTCTCTTCTCTTTTTTTTCCCCTCCCTTCCCATAGGAGGTGGGTGGGGGATGGGCTAGACGGATGATGGATGTTAAGCAGGGCTCTTGTTCTGATGAGCACTGGGTGTGTTAAGTGATGAATCACTGAATTCTACTCCTGAAACCAACACTGCACTATATATTAACTAAATTTTATTGAAAAATTTTTAATGTTTATTTATATATGAGAGAGAGAGGGAGAGGGAAAGAACACGAATGGGGGAAGGGCAGCGAGAGGGAGACAGAATCTGAAGGAGGTTCCAGGCTTTGAGCTGTCAGCATAGAGCCCAACAGGGCTTGAACTCTAGAGCTACAAGATCATGACGTGAGCTTAGGTCATAGGCTTAGCCAACAGTGCTGCCCAGGTGTCCCAACTAATGAAAATTTAAATAAGAAATTTAAAAAAAAAAGCTGTCTCAGGGGAAAAAAAGGGGGAACAAATCTCTACAAGTAAAGGGTACCTTTCATAGGCGAAGACTGCCTCCTCCTGTTCTCCATCCTACAAACACACAAACATGCTGTGGTTTCCCAAGTGTGAGGTGATGTTGTGGAGGGCTAAATTATATGGCAGTGTGTAGGCAAGGGAAATCTCCCACGGCACTGAAATGTTCAGCTTGGCCTGAAAGTCCCCCTTTTCTGGCTCCTCATGACCCAAGTCTTGGCTCAACTGTTAGGCTCCAAACCTGCAAGCTAGGGAAGCCCCTAGCTCACAGCCCCTCTCTATCCCATTAACCTTGTCAATTTCTTAGTTACATTTTCATTTTTTACAGTCCCTTCAATATATGAAATAATCTTATTTGCTCAATTATTTATTTACTCTCACCATGCCTGCCCCACCTTTGAGGACAGAGAACTATATATTCTTCCACACTGTATCTACAGCACCTAGAATATGGCTTGGTAGGTAGTTGGCACTCAGTAAGTGTTTATCATATTGAAGAACCAGGTGGGAGGATTTGGCCAGCTGGACAACAACACTTCCTACACAGCTACGGTGATGAGACGCTGAACTTCCACAGGATGGACAAACTGACCAATGGAACACAGAAGCCAGTTTTAGGCATCTCGGAGACCTACATGTAAGAAAACAAACAAACCCAGGAAACCTTTGATGAAAGTGATTTACGGGATTCTATTCATGACCTTGGGGTAGAGAAAATACGGATATACTTGAAAACATTAAAATTAAGAACTTCTGTTCATCAAAAGATACCATTACCAAGGAAAAAGATAAGCCATTGAGTGGGAAATTGTATTTGTGGCACATTTAATTAATCAACAATGGGCTTGTATTCAATTAACAAGAAAAAGGCAAACCTAAAGACAAATGGGGAAGAGATTAGGTAAGACTTGTCCTCAAGCAGGATATCCAAATTGTCAGAAAGCATATAAAGGGTGCTCAGCCTCTTTAGACATAGAGGAAATGCAAGATTAAGGCCACAACAGGATGCCTCTACCCACCTAGAAGAATGGCTAACATCAACAAGACTGACAATACCAAACAAATGCTAATGAGAATACAGAGCAAAAGAAACTCTTAAGGAAGGAGTATAAATTGGCATAATCACTTTGGAAAAATATTTGACAGTTTCTAATAAAGCTGAAGATCTGCACCCCCCAATGACCCAGCCATCCCACTCCTCAGAATACACCAGGCAGAAATGCATGTGCCTGTGCAGTAGGCACCTGGATGTGAACAATCCTAGCAGTTCTACTCACCAGACCAAACTGGAGAAAGCCCCAAAGTCTAGCAATAGCTGACTAACAAACACAGGGTTGTGTGCTAATTCAAAGTAATTCTATATAACAATGACAATGAAAGAACGTTAAACACAATGTTAGGGATGAGTCTTAACATAATTAGAGCCAAAGAAAGCGGACAATAGAATGGATAGGTTTAATGGAATTCATAAGGTTTTATTTACATAAAGTTCAAAAGCAGGCAACAATAAACTATGTTGTTTGAGGATGTAAAGTTAAGCAGTAAAATTATAACGAAAGGTAAGGAAGTGAACACCATAAAAGTTAGCAGTGGTTAGGGCCAGAGATGAGGAAGGGCATGCTGAGCAGGAAGGGTCTGGGGACTGGGTAATGTGTTTCTTGATGGGTGGAGGTTACTCAGCTTTTGTTTTTATGACAATATATTGTCTATACATTGTCTTTCTGCGTGACTTTTTAATTTCTTACCTTAAAAGAGCTTTCAGTAAACAAACTGCAGGATGCAAACTCATAGAAAGTTAAAGCCTCTATAGATGGCATTATCACAACCATGTTAAATATATAAAACTTATAGAAAAGAAGCTGGAAGAAAACTTAACCAAATATTAAGAATGGTTGTCTTAGGGTATTGGAATCAAAGAACTCTTGCTCCTTAAATGCACTGTGGAAGGAAGAAATGGGAATGCTAACTGAATCCCTTGCTAATTACTCCATCACTGACTGCTCTCCCAGAAGCAGCCACAAGAGGGAGCGTTCATGTCTCCAAGTTGAGTTTCAATTTCCATGATGGCTCAGGACTCAGCCAGAGACAGCAAACTTCAAAGCTTTTATCCCCTTCCCATTCCTGCGTTCCGGTATCTGTGACTCTCTTGTCTTCCTACATGTTCTAATGTGCAAGCACACTAGGACTTCCCTCTCCTCCAGTAAGATAGGTATTAGGAAGAGGAGGCAAAGAGGAAACAGGAACACAAGGATCTGTCAGGACAGAAAAGTCAGGGGCGCCTGGTTGGCTTAGTCGGTTGAGCGTCCGACTTTCGCTTAGGTCATGATCTCACGGTTGTGGGTTCGAGCCCCGCGTCGGGCTCTGTGCTGACTGCCAGCTCAGAGCCTGGAGCCTCTTTCGGTCTGTGACTCCCTCTCTCTCTGACCCTCCCTGCTCACGCTGTCTCTCTCTCTCCTAGAAATAAATAAAACATAAAAAAAATTAAAAAAAAAAAAAAAAAAGAAAAGTCTGAGAGACATGCAGAAATGACAGAAGCTTTTGAAGCCAAGGAACCAGAAGGATCTTCAGGAGATGAGGACATCTCTGGTAGGACAGCAAGTCCAGAATTGGCCTCCAGCACCACTGAGTTTCTTCAAGCCAGGCAACTTCAGTTTCCGAAGTCAGCCCCACCGCCTAGCATTGCCATCTTATCTTCAGAGCATCTGGAGCCTCTTCCGACCAGGCTTCCTCCCGAGGCCAGAACCCTTGGCCCCAGGCCCTGTCAAGATCCCTACAAGACTGGACTGAGCCACTATGTGAAACTCTTCAGCTTCTATGCTAGGATGCCCATGGAGAAGAAGGCTCTTGAGATGGTAGAGAAGTGCCTGGACAAGTATTTCCAGCATCTTTGTGATGACCTGGAGGTGTTTGCTTCTCATGCTTCTCATGTGTCCTAAATGTGGACTAACATTTATTAAGTGCCTGCTTGAAACCTGGCCCTTTCCTGGGCACTTTACAACCATATCACTGCTTGTTAAGACCCACGCAGGCAAGCACCTGGAAGGTACCCAGAGGAGGGCCAAGCAGGAAGTGGGGTGACTGAGAAATGTTAGCTCCTATTCCATGGGCCCTACCTGGAGACAACCCTGGACTTGAGGTCCTTCTACACCAGCGCAGTGCAGGACACAGGCGAGACACAATGCCATGTGTTTAAAGAAACGAAGGGGTGAGGGCACACGGATGCAGGAGTGGACCGCACATAGGGAGGTCACTTTCACAGTCCCAGGGGTATTCTTTCTGGAATTTCTGAAAAGCTACCTCCTTCTGAGGGCAGCAACTCATGAGAAACCCCAGGCTGGTGTGGCCTTTCTTGTGCCTGACCCAGCACCATGTTACCCTGTTCTGGGTAGAGCCTTTGCTTTAGGGGAGAGACCATTTTATTTTACCAGGAGATTCCAAAGCACCAACTATCTCTTTATACTAAAACATATCCAATTGTATCATATCTAAATTTAAAAAATAAACATATTAAAAATATTAGAAGATAACATAGGGAAATTTCTTTTTTACAAATTTTACAGTGGGGAAGGATGAAGGCAGACACCAAAAAATGCCTGCATCAAACACCTGGTGGCAGACTGTGAATAGGGAGTTGATAGAAAAAGGAATTCAAATAGCTGGATTTATCAAGAAAAACCCCCCAGAAACACAAAATTATAGTGAAACACCAATTCTTACTTGTTAGTTACTAGTTAGCTAGTTTATTCCCAGAAGTTGGTCTCACACTGTGTTGACTGGGTTGGGAGTCTGGGAGTGAGTGGTGCATTCTCCACAGAAGGCAGACTGGCCTTCCTGCTGCACCTCTCCCCTCACTTAGGAACATTTCCCATGTAGCTCCCTCCTCTTGCACTTAGAGGTAAATAAGCAGGTTGGTGCAAATCACAGGTAACTCACCTCCCTCCCCGGAAGGTCCCTGAGTGAGGGTGCTGTGTTCAGGCCAGGGTGATGCCAGCTTCTCTTCCTGCTCTCTTCCCTCTGGTTGTCCTGGTCTAGTGTCTGCAGAGAAAGCAGGAGGCTTTCTGGGGTCTTGGGGGTCCTGGGCCTTTCGGAAGCCTCTGGGCTGTTATCCACATCCAGGTAGCTTCCAAGGGAAACCATGGACACAGCCGTGCTCCTGCCAGGGTAGTGAAAATCTGCCCGGTGAGCCGCAGGCCGGGGGCTCCGGGGCTTAGGGCTCATGGGTTTGCAGGGCATGCCTTGGCTTCCATATGCCAAGCAACAGGCAGAGCTGGACGGAAGGGTGAGGCTGATCCCAGTCTGCTGGGCACAAGGGCTGGCGGGTGACATCAGCCAGGACTTCTCAGGAAAGATACCTGAAGTTAGGTACCTCCCACGTTCCTGGGGGCTTGTGCATTTGATGGTTGGTTCGCTTTTTCTCCTGTTATCTGGAGAGACTGAACTGCTGGCTAACAAAAGTGTGGAGGGATGTGGGGGTGACCAATGACCTCCAAACACACAGCTTTCCTGAGGTTCTACCTGCTCTTGACAGTCAATATTGGTCCTCGGTGGAGAAGGTCTGAGGGGATTCAAGATTTCCGGTCCTGGAACCAGACTCACTGCGGCGGGCCTTTTTGGGCCTTCCGTATCTTTGCTTTTCAGAAATGCTCGCCAGGAACTCTGGCGCGGCCGGCTCTTCTCCTTCTGGCCCTTGAGAGAACCTGGAGAACATTCATCCGTGTTCTCTTTTTCTAAAACCTTTGACTCAAAAAAATTTGCAAAGGTCTTATGAGCTGAGGCCAACCTTGCCCTGAGCCTTTTCTCTGGAGTTTTGAGTCTCTTGGCATCACACCTTTGTGAGGACAGTGTCCTGCCGCCGAGGTCCTCCGGCGGGGCCGCCTCGTCCCCTTTCCGTAGCCCCGCAGCACCCCCACCCGCGCGCACCTGGTGTGGAGGGAACCGGGCGGGGCCGGCGGCCACAGGGCCCCGCGCACCTGCGCGCAGCTCCTCAACGCCCGCAGACCACGCGGTCGGGGTGCAGGCGCTGCGTGCAGCGGGGCCTGCGGGCGGCAGACGCCCGGGTCCCGGCGCGCCGGCCTCCCCTCCTGGGCTCTCAGAGGTGGACCTGCTTTTCCTGAGCGAGGTCACCTTGGGAAACGTCAGGCGCTGCCTGGGCTCCTGCAAAGCCGCGCCGGGGCGCCCGGAGGGGCCCCGGGGCGCCGGCGGGAGCGCGAGGGCGCGGGAACCCGTCTCCGCTGCCTCCGCCCCACCGGCCCGGCTCCGGGTCTCGGTCTCCGGGCGAAGGCCCTGGGTCTCTTGTGCATCTTCAGGCCTGGAGTCGGTAGTCCCGGGACCGGGGATCCACCTTGCCCCAGGCGGCTTCCCTTCCGCAGCCTCCCCTGTGCTCAGCCTGGCCTGGGCAGCCTCCTGGGAACAAGTCTCTTTGCCCAGGGGCCTCTCTTCGGAGGCAGCTGCAGGGACCAGCACTACTCCCAGCCCTGCCCCTGCGTCTCGGCCCCCTCGCCAAGGAGACCCATCAGCATCTCCCAGTGGGCTGGCCTCGGGCAGCTCACACTCATTGCCGCAAGTTTGTGGTCTCCCAGCCCTGGAAGACTCCCAGGGGCTCGCTCCAGCCCTGCAGGAAGATCCTGCTCTCTCCTCCAGAGATTCGGACGGAATTTCTGCAAGAGGACCTACTTTCCTTCTAGTGGCCTGCTGACCTTTCTGCTCAACAGCTATAATGATGAGTGTGCAGCTGCCCCTAGGTGTGTCTACCTCGGGCTCTAGCATCAGGCCCTCAGGAGAGGGCCAAGCGCCACCTTGGCCACACTCATCCCCACCACTGCAGTGAGACACGGTGGCTGCTCTGGTTTCTGAAAGTCCCTGCAAGGCACTTTGGGTGCAGTGGGAGTCTAGCACCGTCACATCTTCCACCTCCTTTGAAGTGTCCGCTGCACTTGATGTCAGGGTGATCTCTGGAGTATCTGAACTCACTTCACAGCCGCCCATCCAGTCTCTGGTCCACACCTGTGACCCGCTATTGCTAGAATGATGTGGGAACTTGGCCCTAACAGGTGGCTTTCTTTTCTCACTGAGAATGTACTTTGATCTGTAATTACTGGTTTGGTTTCCTGCCTCAACAGAAATGTCCTGAAGGTGCTTTTGTCTGTCAGTCACATCAGCATCATTTGGTGCAGGGCCAGTGCCTTGGGGTTCCTCTTGTAAGCTTTCTGGGCTGTGTTCTGACTTGCACTCTGTGGGCACTGGCACTTCCTCTGTGCTAAAGCTCACCGAGTCCGCAGTAAGGCATGAAGAGACTGGGCAGGATCTAGAATCCTGTCTCAACTGGTTTTCCAGCCAGAGATGTTCACAGGGTGTGTCCTGAAAGGCCCTTTTCCAGCTAAGAGCACTGGGTTTATACTGATCCTGCAAATAAGGGGCCCTCCTTTGGGAAGCAGGAAGCAAAGGAGACAGTCTGGTGAAGACAGGGTGGAGAGGGTTTTGAGTTCTTGGATCTCGCTCTGCTTCAGTCCCTTCCTTCAGATGAGTCCCAAATTTCACAAAGTTCTTCTCTGGAGGATTCTCAGGGTATCTTAAAGGAAACACTGCTATGGAATGGGCCCTAGTCAGTCTCCTCATGTGCTGACAGCAGTGCTCTGTGGATGCTCTGTCCTTGTCATTAATATTTTTGGGGACGCTATGGTGAAGCTTGGCACATAGGGGGCTAGGCGTCCCTAAAGGAAGCTGGCATGGGGCATCCAAGCAGGGCTGGAAGCAGAGCAAGTCTGTGTACTCTTCCGGACCTAGAGTCCTTCCCTTCTTTGTTCTGGTTCCCACAGGGCCTGTGCTGTGCAGCAGGCCCCTGAAAGGCAGCCCTGGTTCCCTGGCCCTGCTGTGGATATGTGGCCAGCTCTGGCCCAGTTCACAGCACCAGAGAAGGAAGGGCCAGAGCACTGGGATCCCTAAACAACTCTCAGACCTGGATTTCTGAAGAGAAAAAAGAGAGAACCCTCTGAGGTCTTGTGCAGTCACCTTTGCAGGCTGCTGACTGTAGCTGCCTGTGGTGCCCTGTGAGCAGCCCTGTGTGTGGTGAGGAGACCCGGACAGCAAAGACTCTCGCCACAGGCTGGCCACGCCGTTCTCTTGGAAGTGTTCTGTCTTCTCTTCTCCAGTAACTGCAGCAAAGGTTTGGAACCCAGTTTTGTCAGACTCTTCCTTGAAGTCAGGGGACAAATCTAGTTCTTCCTTTGGGTCAAGCTCAGGGACATCAGTTGAATGCTGCTCCTGAGGATGCCTGGTTGCTGGGACATCAGGGCACCCTTTTCTGTCCCCAGAGGTACCACTTAGAGGAAGGCAGGTTCCCCCGGTGAAGTCACCAGGCAGGGACTCTGTGTCAGAAGCACTTTGAAAGGGGTCGGTTTTTGTGTCTGATTGACTTTCGCTCTGGTGAGACAGTGTCTCAAAATCATCATGGTCTATTTCCTGACTCCATCCCTGTTGCTCTGGTTCTGCAGGAGAAGTGGGGAGCTGCTTATCTTCAATCTTGTCTTCACCGGGTGGGTGTGCACCTGGCTCTGGAAACTGGAAGGGCAAGAGGAAAGGAATCAGAGACAAGGCCTCAGGATATTTGCACACATGTTTCCATTGTACCAGCCTTTGTCAGAAGGAGGAAGGTTCAGAAACAACTCATTAGTTCCCCATGTGCTCCTCAAAAAAGATAGGTAAATATGAAGAGCTACCTTTTATTAACACAGAAAACAAGTGATGAAGCCAAATTCAAACAGCAGGGGGAAAATGTAGCTTGTAGTTAAAGCAACCCTATTAAAAATCAGAATAGGCCAAATAAACATGTGCAGTTTAAGTAAGTATAAATATGTTGTGTGAGTCATGGCAAAAAGCATCTCTCTGCCTAATGTTCTCAGCAGGAAAGAACAAATTAATATATGTTTGTTTTGTGTTGTTTGTTCTTATGTAATCAACTGGATTAAAGTCAAGACTCCTATATTTAGAAGTATTTTCTGAGTTAGGTTTGCTGGAGTAAAAAAAAAAATAAATATATATATATATAAATAAGAATTATTGAATTTCAAACATATTTAGTGATATTATAAATGCCCGACATGGGGCGTCTAGGTGGTTCAGTCGGTTATGTGTCTGACTGCGGCTCAGGTCATGATCTCATGGCTCTTGGGTTCGAGTCCCACACCAGGCTCTGTGCTGACAGCTCAAAGCCTGGAGCCTGCTTCAGATTTGGGTCTTCTCTCTCTCCCCGTCTCCTGCTCATGCTCCATCTCAAAAATAAATAAACATTAAAGAAAAAAAAATATAAATGCTTGACAGCTTTGAGAACAGGAAGGAAAAAAGAGAACTGTGCAAATATTTGCAAATTTTTCTTGTCATTACACATTTCTTCAACATGTTGAGATATAAATTTATATGTATCCATTTAAAGTGGATGGATCTATGCATTTTGACAAATGTGGAAACCCATGTAACTACCACCATGATAAAAATCTAGAGTATCTCTATTTCTCAGAAAAGCCCCTGACCCTTTCTAGTCATCCCCACCTCTTTCCTTCCCTTTACGCCCCAGTGTAAGATCTGTCTTTTCTGGAGTTTCTCAGATGAGCAGAATATGCAGTATATACTATTTAGGGTCTGGCTTCTTTCTTTCAGCAGAGTATTTCAGAGCTTCATCCAGAGCTCATGGTTGTAGCATGTATTATACAGATAGTGCCTTGAACTCAGTGATAATGCTGTACCCAATATTCAATCACCAAACTCCCCCAGACTGCTTGGACCAGGAGTGGGGCAAGCACTTGGCTACGCTTGTAGCAAAGGCACCTCCACACAAGTTTTGTATATAAGCCATTCACTCAACCAGCCTTCCTAAGCATGGTTTCTCGGGATTTGTCTTCAGAGACTTCCCAAAGTAAAATCCTTTTAGTCCTCCTTAACTGAGAAGAGAAAAACAGACAA